ACCTGTTGCTGCAGCACCAACAGCAGCAGCTGGATATGTCAAGCATGTGCTGCTGCAAGGCAGCAGCGGGATCAGGGAGCTGCAGCAGCAGCCTGTTGTGGATTCTCCCATTAGCAGCAGCAGCAACAACAACAACAGCAACAGCAGCAGTAGCAACAGCAGCAGCAGCAGCAGCAACAACAACAATGTAGGTACTAACAGCAGAAGTGCCGAGGAGATCCTTGGCCCTTCCTCTGCAGAAGTTGACTGCGTTGCCTCCAAGCCAATGCAGCAGCAGCAGCAGCAACAGCAACAGCAGCAACAGGAGTTGCAGACGCTGCAGCAGAAGCAGCAACAGCAGCAAGAGCAGCAACAGCAGCAGGAGCAGCAGCAGAGGAGCGCTCTTGCTGCTGAGTTAATGGAGCTAAAAGGAGACACCCCATGCCAACCTATTGAGGGAAAGGAGACAAACTGCCCTGCAGCAGCAGCAGCAACAGCAACAGCAGCAGCAGCAACACCAGCAACAGCAGCAGCAACAGCAGCAGAAACATCAACAGCAGCAGCAGCAGCAGCAGGAGGGACAACCTCTCGCCTGCGTACTAAAGGAGACACACAGTGGTACCGCAATGGCTCATCAGGTTCTGCTGCTGCTGCTGCTGCTGCTGTTGATGCTTCTGCTGCTGCTGCTGCTGCACCAGCAGCAGCAGCAGCAGATGATGATGATGAAGATGGCACCCCTCGTCATGCTTCTTTTCTTGTAGAGCAGCAGCAACAGCAGCAGCAGCAGCTGCAGCAGCAGCAACAGCAGCAGGAAGCGGATTTGAGTATAGATGAGGATTATGATGTATCTGTACAACTAAACAGCATAAGCAGCAGCAGCAGCAGCAGCAGCAGCAGCAGCAGCGCAGCAGCAGATTGGCAGTTTCTGTGTCTCCATTGGAATATTGTTAACACAGCATTAAGTTTGCTGCTGCTGTATGCATGCTCATCTAGTTGGCCACATAACCATTCTGCTGCTGCTGCTGCTGCTGCTGCTGCTGCTGCTGCAGCTGGTGGTGGTAGTAGTAGTGGACAAGGTGCAGCAGGAGGAGGAGGACGATGTAGTAGTATCCATACAGCAGCAGCAGGAGCAGCAGCAGCAGCAGCAGGAGCAGGAGGAGGAGGAGGAGGAGGAGGAGGGAGTATAGAGAAATTATTATTAATAAATAATGATGGTGGTTTATATTATATGGAGGGTTTACGTAAACCCTTAATTAGGGTTTATAAAAAAAGGGTTTGTATAATTGGTCAATCTATACAAGCAATATCTGGTGTATTGCATGCATTTAGCTGTACATACACCTCAGCAGCAGCAGCAACTAATCCATGGGGCTGGCTTATTGCTACTTTCTCTATGATTGCCTCTTTTCTTGATCCTCTTCTCTCTCTTACTGCTAATTGCTTCTCTGCTGCTGCTGATGCTATCAATGCACTCTCTGCTGCTTAGCTAGCTAGCTAGCTAGCTAGCTAGCTAGCTAGCTAGGTAGCTGGCTAGCTAGGTAGGTAGGTAGCTGGGCTATGTGGATAGCTAGCTAGCTAAGCGGCTAGCTAGTTATTTGTCTAAATGGATAGCTAGCTAGCTAGCTAGCTAGCTAGCTGAGTGGCTAGCTAGCTGCGTGGCTAGCTAGGGAGGTAGGTAGGTAGCTAGATGGCTAGCTAGCCACTAGCTAGCTACCTTGTTGGATGTCTGCTGCCTACATGGCTAGCTAGCTAGCTGACTAGCTAGCTAACTATATGGCTAGCTAGCTAGCTAGCTAGCTAGCTAGCTAGCTAGCTAGCTAGCTAGCTATATGTGTGTGTCTTGAGGGTTTACTGTGTTGTTTTTTCTTTATAAAATAAAAAAAGAAGACCAATGGTCTAATTAGGGTTTAGGGTTTAGGGTTTTGCTGCTAATGATGATTTTTATTTATTTATTTATTTATTTAATTTATTTAATTAAATAAAAATAAGGAAAAATAAATAAAAAAAAAGAATTTATTTATAATAATAATAAATTAGGGTTTAGAGGAGACAAAAGGGTTTGAGGGTTTAGTTAGAGGAAGAGAAACCGCCAATTAGGGTTTATAGGGGAGTAAGGAGATATATATAATTAGGGTTTAGGGTTTAGAGGAGGCCAAACCCTAATTTAGGGTTTGAGAGTTTGTAAGACCGACACTACAGTCCTTTTATTAGGGTTTATTATTAGGGTACATTAGGGTTTATGAGGGTTTAGGGTTTATTAGGGTTTAGGGTTTATTAGGGTTTTGGGTTTGGATAGTCCGATGCGTATATCCTCTAAACCCTCACCATCATAAAATCTCTTAACTCGTAGGATATATTAGGGTTTAGGGTTTATCTAGGGTTTAGGGTTTAGGGTTTAGATTGCTCTCTGCCCTGAATAGAACTCCCTTCTTGTATCATCTAGACAATCTGTATCAAGAACATATCCTCTAGATATAATAAGAGGGTCTAAACCCTAGCAAAACCCTAAACCCTAAACCCTAGAGGGCTCTCTGCCCTGAATACAGGTCCCTTCTTGTATCATCAAGACCATCTCTATCATGAACATAACCTCAAATCTCTCAACCTCTAGAATACATACACTACAGTCCATCTAGGGTTTAGGGTTTAGCTAGGGTTTAGGGTTTAGCTAGGGTTTAGGGTTTAGGGTTTAGAGGGCTCTCTGCCCTGAATAGAGGCCACTCCATGTATCATCAAGACCATCTGTATCATGAATATAACCTCTAGATATATAAACATTTATCTAGGATCTAAACCCTAGATAAACCCTAAACCCTAAACCCTAAACCCTAAACCCTAAACCCTAGAGGGCTCTCTGCCCTGAATAGAGGCCACTCCTTGTATCATCAAGACCATCTCTATCATGAACATAACCTAATGTTTTATTGCAAGTTTTCTCAAAGATAAATACTTCATCTATACATTTAGATATATCTCCTCTAGGTACTAATTGCTGCTGCTGCTGCACTTGCTGCTGCTGCACTTGCTGCTGCTGCTGCTGCTGCTGCTGCTGCTGATGGTCGGCAGGAATCGGATGCTGCTGCAGACACTGCAGCAAAGGACGCATTGTACATACAATTTGTCCTGATTTCTTATTAGATGAGGAATTAGCAGCAAGCATGATATATATATGTATAAATATATAAATAAATAAATAAATAATATAAATATAAATAAATATATAAATAATATTTATAAAAAAGAAGAAAAAAAAGAAAAAAATTAATTATTTAATTCTTCTTTTCCTTCATTTCCTTAAGAAAAAAAAAATTCAACTTTTTCTTGATCACCCTAGTATTCAGGTGTATAGGCACCTCAATGAGGAAGAAAAAAGAAGAATTAAGCATTTAATTTATTTAATTCTTTTTATTTTTATTAATTAATGAATAATTAATGAATAAAAAAAAAGAAAAGCAATTAAATGAGCTGCCTATACACCCCAATACTTGAGACGCATGCATAGTAAGCAGCAGGAAGCAGCAAAAAGAAGGAAGGAAATAAATAAATAAATAGAATTCTTTTTCTTCTTTTTTTTCTTTTTATTTATTTATTTTTTTATTAATTAATTAAATAAATATAAATATTTATTTTTATTTATTTATTTATATAATAACAACAAAGGCATGTCTTATTACCTCATAGTAACAAGGCAACAGCAACTCGCATGCAGCCCCATTACATGCAGCAGCAACAGCAGCAGCAACAGCAGCAGCAACAGCAGCAGAAACAGCAGCAGCAGCAGCAGCAGCAGCAGCAGGAAATATTATAGTTATTAATCTTTATGTATAGAGTGTATATCTATAATAAAACCCTGAATTATAATCCTTTATATACATTTATTTGCGGTGTATATACACCAACAAAATAAATAAATTAATTAATTTTTTTTTTTTTTTATTTATTAAACAAAATGATTAATTTAATTGTATATTGAGGTGTATGTACACCGGACAATTAAATATAAGTGTCTCTTTTTTACGGTAAGGAGACAGCTGAGCTAAGGAGGAAAAGGAGACATTTATATATTTATTTATTTATTATTTAATTAATAAATATAATAAATAAATAATATATTAAGGAGACAAAAGGAGACAAAAGGAGACAAAAGGAGACAAAAAGGAGACAAAAGGAGACAAATATTGTTGCTTTTTTTGTCCCCTTTTTTGCTGCTTTTTTATTTTCTTTTATTTATTTATTTATATTTTATTTAATTAATAAATATATATATAATAAGGATAAACATTTACTAATAAATAAATAAAGTATAATAAATAAATAAACAAATAAATAAATAAATAAATAAATAAATAAATAAAATAAATAAATAAATGTCTCCTTGTCTCCTTAATATATTATTCCTCTAAGGGAATAAAAGGGAAGAAAACAAAGAAAAAAAGAAAAAAAAGGAAAAAAAAACAAGAAAGAGAAGAAAATGAATAAAAAAGAAAAAGAATAAAAAAGAAAAAGAATAAAAAAGAAAAAGAATAAAAGGAAAAAGGAAGAAAAAAGGAGCAAAAAAAAGAAAAAAAAAGAGAAGGAAAAGAAAATAATAAAAAGGAGACAATTGTTTATACTCCTCTATATAACCACAACTATCCCACTAGCAGCAGCAGCAGCAGCAGCAGCTGCTGCTGCTGCTGCTGCTGCAGCTGCTGTTATTGTTGTTGCTGCAGCACTTCTGCTGCTGCTGCATTTCTGCTGTTGCTGCTATTGCTGCTACTGCTGTTGCTCCTATTGTTGCTATTGCTATTGCTGCTGCTGCTCCTGCGGCTGCTGCTGCTGCTGCAGCAGCAGCAAACTAACTGCTCATTAACTGTCCTAAGGAGTTAATAGGGAAGGAAGGGGATAATATTAATTATATTTATTATATACAATTTATATATTATATATACATATAATATATATAATATGTATATTATAAGTATATATAATATATATATAATATATATATTATTTATATATATTATATAATATATATTATT